AAATATATACCAAAGATTGAGCTTCTTGACAGCGTCAACGGTTGCTTTCGTACGACTATAGACAATGGATTCAGTTAGTCTAACCATAATTTTAAGGATTCAAAGACGAAAAGATCAAAACAAAATACGGGAGGATTGCGAAAAGAGGGCATTTCATGAGCGCCGATCAATTCCCAAATAAGGCCCCCCATTTTTTGGAGAACATCGTTTTTTTTTTTTTTTTCTGTTCCAATTCTTTCTTCTTTTTTTCTTCTTCTCGAGTAGATGCACAAACCCAACCAACAACACTAAAACTAAACCAAACCAGCATCAACAACAGCAATAACAGCTGCTTTTTTTTTTTTTTGGCTTGAAACAGCTCAGCTTGTTTTATCGGCGACAAAATTACAGCAATCAAAACAAAAAAAGATGTGTATGCTCCAACAACAACAACAACAACAACATCAACAACAACAACAACAGAAACACATTCCCTTCCTCCTCTCTCACCCCTCTCCCTCATCCTTCTCTTCCTCCTCCTCTCCCACTCTCCTTCCAGACACGCACAAATAGCATAATGATCCATAGTTTGAAAGCCTCTAAATCCCGTTTATGTCATCCACCCTCCACGGATGTAACACTTAAGTACAACTCTCTATTGAAACATTCAATTTTTATAATTGATCCTTTAACAAGATGCATTCTCATATCTCGCACCAAACTCCCTAAACACACCCGTATTTCCAGCTATACATTAGTCTCCCTTGAAAAAAAAATCAGCCTTTTCAATTCATCCTTCACCAGCTTACACACTGGTTCAACAGTTCAATGGTAGCTTTGAAAACAAAATGAACCTTCTATTTTTAGAAACTAATTTTTGAACACCTTATACGGTTCGTGATTTCTCTTCATCCTCCGCTTCGCCTCCCCCGATAGCATTTATAATGCTATTGATATGGCATTCACAATATTTTGCGTTTGCCGGTTATCAAAACTTGCAAAATCCCCACCCCCTTACCCTCCAAAAAAAAAAACTGCCCACAACCTGCAGCACTACCACTATTTCAGTTATTAGTAATTATTTCCAGTCGTCGTCATATATTACCCCTATCTCAAATCGAACAAATTCAAAGTCTTTCTCTTTGATAAACGCAAATACCCTAAACAATTAGTAATTTAAAAACGCTAACCCGCCGTCTAAACGACACATTACGATCGTAGTAAATGCACATTTCACGTTATAAAATCCCGGTCCTTACGAGCATCTCAAATGAAATTAGCTATCCTAACAGTCATATTGTTTATTAATCTTCAAAGCGATTAGTAGAAAAAGATATACTTTTTTTGCAAAGAAAAAACCCGACAACCATAAAATAAAGTTTTATTATTATAAGAACGAAACCAAATTCAAAAAAAGGTATTGAAAGATTATTAAATACTGCATTGACGCAGCCGTCCATACTCCACCAAATTCATCAAACACCAAGAAAAAATTATATCCGCGATATGTTAGAACCTTTAAAGCTGACATATAAGAAAACTAAACTTTTTTGGACCTGGTATAAAACTCTTTAATGGCAGTATTAATATTATACCGCTCTGTTCTACCAAAAGACTTTTAAAAATGACGTCAACACCTCTAAAAATTACCTTCAACAAATAATTAACAATTTCACCAAACAGACAAAAAACTTAGAGCACAAACTAAAAATAAAAAATTTCTACCGCTAAGCTATCCTTCTTTGTCGGCCATTTGATAAAAAAAAAGCACCTTGCACAGCTAAGAAAAATGAGATAACAAACGGTAAAGAATAGAGCCGTCAACTCTGCTAAATGTTTAGTCCCTATAATGACACGAAAGTAACAATGACTTGAATCAAAATGTGTAAAAAGTAAAAAATTTAGAACCATTATATTTTAGTAGTAAACTGCTGCGAAAAAAGGCCAAGAAACGGCGTTAAAAAACTTCACCCGTGCAAAAAAAAAAAAAAAA